AAAGTATTTTAAATAAAATCCAACACTGTACTAAAATATATTTTAGTACATATTTTCATAATATACAGGGTGTTCCAGATAGACATTCAATTAGACATTTCTGGAAAACTACGCGTACTGGAATTCTGAAAATGTATGTACGGGGGTTTCTCCTAATGTTCTATCGATTGAAAATATTGGCGTCTCCGTGGAACTTCCGGTTCTACCGGAAGTAGACGTCAACTCGCTTATTTCAAACGGAATGTACTATTTTTTATTTAATTTTTGGATTCTACATCGAATTTTAAGGTATGTTTCATACTATTTCTGATACGAACACAGTGGCAGATATAAATTGTGAAGTTCAATGGGGCAATATTAATAAATTTTACTACAATGTTTTTACTATTTTACTGTATTTGTGACAATTTTTTGCACAAACTGGAGAACTGCAATAATGTAATAATTTTTTGCAAGGTATTTTTTCCGTTGCAAGTTTTTATCAAACGCACTATTTTTCTGTTAAGGATTTTATTAATTTCGTAAATTTGACAACAAAATAAATTTATCATAATTAAATAACTAATTTTTCGATTAAATTTCCAAATAATACTTCAATATCCCACATAATACGTCACAGTGTCACCCCTGTATTTGGAGCCGCTCACAAAAGAACCAGTGGGCCGTGAAATTCGATGAAATGTGACGGTGCACACATGTGACCACGCCAATGTGCCTACCAATCAACTATACTGATTTTTAGCGTCGAATGATTAAAGCCCGATTCTCGCAGATTTCGTGCACTGGGTTTTTCGTTTTTAATTTTGCCGCTGCAGAGTTATTAGGTTATAGTTCGCCGGTCACTACACTTCAGTTTTAGCGTGTAATGAATAAAGTGGTACATGGAATGCCTCCCTAATAAAGCCGCATTGATTTTACACCATTTTGTGTAATTTGCTAGGTTATGGATTTTTTTATTAGGGGAGATTGAACAACTGCACTAACGATGGGTCAAATGTAGTTAGTGAATTATTTGAAAAAGTACATGAACGACTCTTAAATTATTAGAATTCATCTTGTGCTCAGTTAATAAATAAATATATTATATAACTTGAAATTTTGATGAAAAAATGACGAACAAAATACAGGATGTAACAGCCACATTGAGACAAACTTTTAGGGTTCCTCTTATCAAAACAAACAACAACCAAGTGAAACATGAAAAGATTCTTAAGGGCTGTATGATCCTTCAAATATTATCAATAATGATAACGAATAACACTAATAGAAATGTTTCATTTAAGCAAAATTAAATGAATAGGTAAATGTAAAAGTATATTTAACAATATATCGGGTGCGAAGGGTTGGGAAATCTCGAAGCTGGAGATACTGGTGGCCAAAATAAGTCGAATGTGCCAAATATGCCTTCCGCAAACGTTGCTGGTTTCAAAGACACAGGGAGTACAATGTTTGAAGTTTATTTTGAAATTTCTCAATAAAACTGACAGAGTGCGAATAAAAATATTGGCATTATTATGTTTTTTGACATGACAATTCAGAATTTTTAACTAACTAATTTTAACGTTGCTTGTATAGAGCGCCATCCTTTGATAAATAAGGGATTTTTTTTTACATTTAAAGTTGCGGACATTGTGTACGGAAAATATGAAAGAATGTCCTTCTTTTCATAAAAAAGTTACTCTTGCTCATTTTCGATATTTCCCTGTATACAAATTTCAATGCATTTCGTTTTTAAGGAGGTATATCGGGTTTACTAAAATGCACATATATACTTAAAATTTATATAGCGTATTACCCAGTGCTCCCTCTGTGCGTCATATTTTTTTGAAATTTGTTTTGAATCTAGATTTTGAGATATTGTTGAAAGTTCGAAAGTTGTTCATTTTAACATGGGTTTATATGGCGAAGATGGACGGTGCGGCTCTTTTTTTGCCCATAACTGAGAAAAAAATGTAGAAATTGTGAAACAAAACTTTTCCATAGATAGTACACGGTATTATCTTATTTTTGATGTAAAACTAATGTAAGTTTTGAACATTGCAGCTGTATTAATTAGAAACAGAATTGCATTTCTGTCTGACTTGAGGATTAATGTGGCAACGTCGCAATCAGCTGACAGCAAAGAGGGAATACATTTGAATGACTTGATAAAAACGAAATTGATTTCAAACATATACATTTCTCCTAAATCCCATGTACATTGTTTCAACAATAAATTATCCACAACAGATTATTTTTTGTAATGTTTTTAAAAAACTAAACTAATTAAAAAAGCGTAGGAATCTGTGATATATTTATTGGAATAAAAAATACAGTTGATAAATCCTTTTAATATATTTAATGGTTTATAAAAACATCGTANCATTGGTCTTAGGGTGTTAACTACGCATAGCAAATTTGAAATAGAAATGTTCAGGCATTTTGGAATTATTGCAGACAATGTTTAATTTTACAGAAACTTTGACGCCCTGTATTTCGTTAAGGAGGCATTTGCGACCCTATGTTTATTAAAACTTTTCGTCTTAATTTTTTATGTATTATCTACCCTAGAAGTCTGTTAGTGGTTTTTTGAATCACCCTTTATAATAATTATATTTTACATAGTTTATACACAATACATTTTTGAACGCGTACGCATCTTTACCCGAATTTGACGCGCAATATCTCCGATGTCCGAGCTCTGTAGGTTCGCAGTGTGTACAACTGCACTCGATTATTAGCGCTGTTGCCACATCTACATAGTCTTTATGCGTACGTTAAATATAATTTAAAACTACTTAAATATTATATTTTTATGTTGTTAATTTTCAATATGTGCATATTGAGTAGATTTCTTTGCTATATAGATAATGTTTATCGCAAATAATTTCAATAGAATTTAATTTTTTCAAGTTGGTAGTAGATTTCAGTCCCATAAGAAAAGCATAAGACCCCCCTGCGATCCTCACTTCCCTTGGACCCCGATATACCTTCTTAAGCCGCCTTTAATCCTTAAATTAAACTAATGTGACTTGACAACTAGTATAAACCAAATTATTTAGGTACAGTTTTCTAAAAAACAACATAAAGGGAAACTTATGAAACTAAATTAAATTAAAAATAAAAAAAGTAGAAAAGTACATAGCACCAAAGAAATCCGTTTAAGGGAACACTGAAAAAAAAACAGACAAAAATATAGACACGACACGAAATCTCATTGTATTCAGTCAATTAATTTTTCATATAGAATGTTTTCATTTTCCAAACTAGGAACCATGTTTCTATTAGAAATATGTATAACAGCTTGAATTTAGTTTGTTTATTTACTTCCCTAGCTAGAGATACCATATCGACCTATAAATATTGAAATAAATAAACACAAAGATATTGTCTGAAGTTATTTATTTCTTCTTTTTCTTTATTTTTTGGGTATTTTGTCATCTGAGGAAAAATTAATGAAATAAACCTTCGCTGCACAAGAATCGGTAAAGGGTTATTTTTATGAAAATAGATTCTTTTTAACCAAAAATCTCGCACTGAAAAAAGAAGACGAATTCAAAATACAAGAAAAGTTACTATATTGTTGCATACCTTAAAAAGTTGTTAACGTTCTGAAAATTTATCTGTTTTATAATTACTTTTTGTTAATTATTTTTGACAATTTAAATTTGCTTTTGTTATAGTTTGGGATGCTATTATTACTTAGTTCATCGTTTAGAATTTGTAGCCAACAAGGATTCAAGCTCATAGATATTTTCACCATTCAACAAAATAATTGCGGTTTCTTCTAATTTTCTTTTAAAGATATTATTTTCCTTCTCCAAAATTTTAACCGAACGCGTTTGAATTATATGACCGCTATCTCAAGTGTGATTGCCAATTTTTGATTTCTCAAATTTTTGTTTTTTTAATGTCAATTTCTTAATTCTAATCTTTACACGTCGTAAGGTCTCTCCAATGTATAGTGCATTCACAAGGTACGTTATAAATGTAATTTTTTTGATTTTGAAAATCATTATGTGGGCGCGTCGTTGAGAACAAAGTTTGTAAGGTATTAGTTGTCTGAAAAACTGTTCTAGTGCTAAATTTGTTACCTATTCTTCATCAATTTTCGAATAATAAAGGAATATATGTAATTTTTATTGTGAATGTAATTTCCCTTTGTTGTGGACAGAACTGTCTTAAAAGTTTCAATGTTCTGTTTGAATAAAATTCTCAGGGTATTGATTATTTATTAGTACATTTTTTATTAATTTCAATTAATTGTTAAAAATTGCATCTTTTGAGGAAATCAATTTGAGTTGGATCCATCGCATAGACATTTAATTACACCTACAGAAGCTACTGCGGGTGCTTCAAAGTGTATATGATGAAAATTAAGGGTAGTAAATTTTCTTAATATGGTCATATAATTTTTAAATTTGGTTGGATCACTTTGCTTTTAAAATATCCACGTGTCAGTGATGTGTATGCATAGAAATTAAATAAGTATAGCAAAGTCTATATCAAGGTATGTATTAACATATATAGAAAAGTTCTCTTCGATGGAAGATAGAAAGTTCTCTTTGATGGAAGGTACAAACTACCAAAAACTTCCTGTTTCCAAATCAGCAAAAAAATAGGAGTTCCCATTTAAAAAACTTAACTCGACCTTCAAATGACCTTGAAGGTCAAAGTCAAGGTCAAATCCAAGGTAACCATCAGATAGCCAGGGAAAAATCTTTACACTATTATCTGAAACGTTTTTCTGCCGTACCGGAACTTTTGGATAGCCCTGTATAATTTTCATTTATAAGAGATTTGATATTTATACGGAAAGAAAAGTCTTTATTCTTAAAATTTCTAAAAGCTGTTTCTCTTTTTATAACATTGATAATAATAACCTTTCCCGAATCAATTCGGATACCGACGATTTAGCCTAATTCTAAAAGTTCAAATTAGGTTATCAAAACTCATACCTAATTAATAGAAATGAGTTTATTTAAAGAAAAATCAACCCCCTGAACTATTGAGGCAAATATTTAATATTTTCTCTTCCTAGCCAAGGCATCAAAATCGGATGCATAAATAATCTGTATGTTATTCGGTATTCCACACCCAGGTCTTGATCCAGAGACAGTCACCACTGTGTCTCCCGCCCGGACATATCCAACATATCTTCCGTAAGCCGTCCCCAGCTGGAGCCTCTGTTCGACATCCTTGTCCCAATTTCCTTCGAATGGCCTGACGTTAACGACGCTGTCAATACCTTTGTAAATTGCTAATTGGCGTGCCACTCGCGGGTATCTTGTCACTGCTATTATTGGACATCTTGGTCGAAACCTGGAAAATCAATGCTGTGTATCTCTCATCTTAAATAGAACTGAAAATTTTATGTTTCTTGTAGGATGTGGGTAATTCGCGCGCATAAAATGGAAGAAATAAGTATATGTGCAAAAAATGTTGTAGCCTTTGATACTTTCCGAAAATAACATGCAGTATGTTGGCCCTCAAGAATACGAAATAAATATGCATAAGTCTAATTTTCATACATGAGGTAAAACGTAAATAAATATTTATAATTCGATTTATCTTAAATTACTAAAACGAGATTTAACTTGTTTTCTTTTAGAGCATATTACTGGTACTACTACAGTCTTAGAAGATAGAGGTAAGCGATCTAAATAGTTTTGTTACAAAATTCAACAAAACGGAGAAGTTTAATTATACTAGAATACCTCCAAATACTTGATTGCAACTGATTCGCAGGGCCTCAAAATAAAAAAGGTGTCGCATAGTACTTTGATCCGCCGAATTGGAATTCCTGGATCAGTTTTTGTTTTGACCTTAAAATCAAGACATTCGTCTAGAAAGCGGTTTTCGAGATGTTAAACTGACCTGAGAGTAATTGACCAGCAAAACATTCGAATTCATGCTTTGCACCATAACCCAATAACCCCGTAACTTCATAACTCATGGTTCATAACTCCATGATCCCGTAACCCGAGATGTGCGAGAGTATAGAACCATGAAACATAGATCTCATACATCAGGACTATGAGTTGGAAGGCGTTCATAAATTCTTAACCCCAGAACCTTGGGTGTGCTAGTATGTTACATCACGAAACTCTGAGGAATTGAGTCTGTAGTCCTGTTCAACTCCGAAACAGTTTAACCATGGTGTCGTTGTGTACGTTGGTGTACAGTCCGTGCGATATTTGTTTTGATAGAATTCCAAGAAAACCCCTGCGCCACTTTCCTGGAATTAACAGCATTCAACACACGAGGTAGAAACACATTGGCGGAAAATTTCAAGGCACGCTCCTGCCGCAGTATATTGTTACAGTATTTCCGATAACAGAACATTATTGGCTTATGCTTTTCTTTTAATTCTGTCTCAATAAATATTGTATACATATAAAGGAAATGTGGTTAAATATTTTAATTTTCTATTAAAAAGTCATCCATATTTATTTTAAATCTGACTTTTTATTCCTAGTTTTTGCACAAAAACTATTAATTATGTCACCTACAGTAAACTATACCGCTGTTTAAATTATAGGAAAACGAAAAGCGCAAATAGGAAACCACAAGCGGGAATCTTTATGGCAGAATATTATAATTATCTGACTTAAAATTTCATTTTGGTAAGTTTAGCATCCTAAGGGCTGTGACGTCATCAAAATTATTTTTCCAATTTCATAAATTAATGTTTTTTAAATTTGAATTTTTTTTTCTCAACGACTTTTATTGTTCTTTCTTTCAAAATATTGAAATGGGTACTCAATGAAAAAGTAGATATGATTATGATTTTTTGGAAAAGCTCTAAAAGATTCAAAATCAAATTGAACAAGTACTTTGTTTACCACAGCAATGCTGATAAAATCAGTAACAGTCTTGATTGAACCAGTGTTTTTCTTTGTACATATCGTTTGTATATTTTAAACGGCAAGAGATATCGAAAAACTTTTTTAATAAAAGTTATTGAGAAAAATGTGGACTTTCGAAAAAATATAGGCTGTTACAAATTCGCTTCTCACTACAGCGATCTCGGAAACGGTGAGAGGTACGAAGTAGCTTAAATGGGGGCAAAGTTGCATAATCAGGGGACCAACATTATGCTTTAAAAAATCAAGGCTAACGTGATTAGTTTTCGAAATATTTGTAAAAAACCGAAATTTTGGAAATCCGTTTTTGTTTCATTTCAGCCTTGTTTGAAGTGATATTGAAAAAAGAACACTTTCTCATGGCTACTTTTTGCCCTCTATCGATTGGCATAATCAATTTTTATACGTAACGTTTCGTCTCTCCAGGACTATCATCAACTTCATTTTTTTAAATACGACCCTGAAAATTTTATTATATTTTTTGCAAGCTTTCATGAGCCCCAATACTACTGCGTGAGCCCGAACCAGACAGACGTTTTGTCTCGAAAAATTCATCTTCAGTGTAATAATTCCAAATTTATTTAATTTTTTTATTTATATTTCTTTGTTTATTGAATTATCGTACACTTTAAGTGTCGTCAGACCATGTAAAATCCATCTAGTTATTTAAACTATTACCAGCATGTGGTACAGTAAAACATTTATTATTATTATTAACTACTACCATCACTTGGTGATACATAACTCAATAACTTGTTAAGATCCACTTCTTATTTGTGGAAGGGTGAAATGGGCGGTGACTATTAGACGCCTTCATTATAGCCAGCTTTCTCTATCGCACGGATTTCTATGACTTACTTTATCGCTCTCACGTAACGGCAGATGGACCATCGGTACTTTCCGACCCTGTATTATCATGCCATATAGATCCCCGCTTGTTTCTTATTTGGTCTTGTTTTACTGTAATAGTGACCAACAATCAGTTCTGGGCCACCTGTATATATTTAAAATTCATTCTGTAGAAATGGCGGAAAATACATTTTATGATTTCCAAATAAAATCTTACCTCGACAGTAATTTTGCTGTCCTTCCTGAAGAAGTAAGACAAATTATTGCAGCCGCACCAGATTTGAGAGCGGATTCCACAGCTGAGATGGCCAAGGCGTAAATCGCCTCCATTGGAGACGAGATGTCGTTGGTTAGTTCATTGAAAATTCGTTTTTCGTAGACCGCCGGTTCCGCTTCTCTACAGATAGTTGATATCGAAATGACGGGTTCCTTCAAGCAACATTCCGTAGGCAACATCAACGCGTCAGCACCATCGATGATAGCGTTAGCGATGTCGCAGACTTCTGCCTTCGAAATTGATTTCACATCCGATATTCGTATAGAACATATTATAGGTATGCCTGCGGATAAATACTTAAATTTTATTAACAAACATTTTTACTTTTCTTCAAAAAATTAATTTTAAGATGTATTGAAGTATCCATTTAGTATCCATTTTTTTTATCACAGCACCAAAAAAATATTATAGTAATGTCAACGAGGTGGAAAAAATTCAATCAAAAATAGTGGCGCGTATTCAGGCACGATTTTTTTTAAATGTGTTTTATTTGGTTCACTGACATTCCCACAATTATTATTTTTTCTCCTATCAAAAATGAGTCTGGAAAGGACTAATGGATATAAAATATGCGATAAATATTACTTCCTATATTATAAATGCAAAATTATTACATTGTTTTATCACTGTGACCCTTTTTTAGGTTTATTCTGGGTTTTAATAATATTGGAGTTAGATGAAAGATCATCTTCTCATAATGCTGCTAATAGACCGAGAGATACTCGTAGAAGTTGAACGACGTCTTTCTCGTTTATGCCTTTTAGGGTACTGAAAGATACATCAGACAATTAAGATTATGGAAAAAAACGATGTGCCCGCCAGGACACATATGTGAAAATTTAATTTTCTTTTTCCGCAGCTTTTCCAAAGCCCTATTTTCTTTAGTCCTTAGTAGGACTTATGCAAATGTTTTTTATGAGTTTTTCGAATACAATAATGTCATATTTCTAATTGGCATTAATGAGAAATTGGTAGACAAATAAAGATGTTTTTCACATTTTCTTACAAAGTTTTCCATTTTTAGGTCCCTTGCGACACTTATGCCAAAACAATTTTGTGATAAAATTGATACTTCTCTTCAACTTATGAACATGGCATAAGTGAGAAATACGTCGCTGTACACATTATTTTTTTGAAAAGGAAAATTGAATTTTCAGAAAGATGTCCCGCAGCCCATCTTTTAAATTTAATTTATTGTACTTGTCTCTCGGTTACCTTTCAGCACTCTCAGAGGCATAAATGAGAAAGACGTCGTCGAACTTCAGTCTAATATCTCCCGGTCTATAAGCTTTGGCAGTGGATCTTTCTTATAGCTTTCAGCGTCCGATTTTCCTCTTATGAACAGAAGCTTGCTATGCCTCTACACACGCGTAATATATGGGCTGTAGTAACTTATTCTCCCTGGCAGAAATTACACAGGATATCTTACACCAGACGGATATTACTCAGATTTTGCAATATTCAGTTAGCAGTCTTACTGTCATTGATCCGCTACTTCGGTTCAGTGAGTTTGCCATCAACTCATTCGACAATCTTTTTAATAATATGATTCCGTCTGTATGGGGGTTTCTTACCACCATTGTTATGCTCTACTCTTCATACAACCATACATGTTTTAATCCTTACTAGCAATGCATCATAGGTTTTGAGCACTCGTAGGGCTCTAGATGGATCTACTTTTGCTAACTCGTCAAGATTTTTGTTACTTCGAAGGCGCTTATGTCCAGGTATGTGAACAAGGGACTTTGTAGACTTACTGTAGTATCCAAACACCCGCTTTCTAGCCTAGATCAATGGTACAAATACGATTGAGCGCCGTTCTCCTTACATTTCTTGTGACAGTTGGTTATAAACAAGTTGAATTTTATATCAATAACCCTCTACTTTTCTAATTCTATCGCATGATGTTTCTTTTGGATGTGGAAATACGCCCCAACATAATTGTACCTACCCTTAACGAAAATTTTTCCTCAACGTTGACTATAAATATAAATCTTACCTGCTAAATTACATTTGGCTGTAATGGATTTCTGTATCAAAAAAACTTTTTCTTTCGGAAGTTCCATCATCAACCTGTCACAATCTAAGCATATCCCATCGGACACCTCAATAATTTTGTCTATATTCTCTATAGCAACCGAATTCTCTATTTTGGTAATAATTGAAATAAACTGCCCCGCTTCGCCCAACAAGTCTTTGATATCCGTTACACCATCCTTATTGCGTATGCCGGAAAGGAAAAGGAAATCCACTTTTTCCTTAATACCACTCTTAATCAGTTCTTTGTCATTCTCGGCAACTTCATTTGTTTCCATGGGAACATTTGGTACCACCACGGCAGAGCTACTCAGTATATCACCTGCACGTTCAACTATGCACTTCACAATGCTCTCCGCGCATTCGATGGCTGAAAGTGTTACAGATCCATCGTTTAGCATCACTTTGTCTCCTGGTTGGATTACTGACGAGAGATTCTCATAGTCTACGAATATCATGTCCTCCGTAACGTGTTCTTCGTATACTGGGTCGGTTGTTAGGTGCGTTATTTGGCCTTTTTCCAATGAAACTTTTTTATTAGGTGGTTTTATTTGACCTAGAAAGAAAATAGGTAATATTACTTCTTGATCATGTTTTGCCTTAACGGCCACATTCATATTGAGGTATGTGTCCATTAAATATCAATATATGATTTAAATTGATCAAGTGTCTCCTAAATGCTGAGATGTAATAATTATGAAATATTAATTTAGCTAAAAATATTATATTGTATTACAAAATAAATGGAATTTTTAAAAAATTGAGACATCAAACAAATTTGGAAATAAAATGTAGCGTAACAGATTTATCAACATTTAAGGAAATATTGAAAATGGTTTTATTATGATAGGGGATTCTTTATAAAGGCAGGAAACCCAGTTAAATAATGAACAAGACAAAAATATGTATAGATAACAATAAAATTACAATAAAAAAAAAAACAAAATACAATCTGAACATTGATTTATGTATAAAAAACACAGTTTCCATGAATAAAAATAACCTTAAGTGATGTGTATACAAATATAAACAGTAACAAGGAAAGAACAAAAAAAGCACATGGTTATACTATTTTTGATAAACAAAAAGATAATGAAAAAATAAAAAGAAGATATTAACTAGAAAAGCAGAAAAATCCTTTATGGTCTGTCAGGGAAGATGTGAATATACAGGCTGTTTGCTACAAGAGGGCCACTCCTATACATACAGGGTAGCCCATCGAAAACGTACCGCAAGGCATTACAGGGTAGTAATGAACTTTTCGGCAAAATCCAAAAACAAGTAAAGTTTGCTTCTGAGGGGGACAACTTTTGGCGCAAAAAGCATAGCAAAATCTTCAATCCCCTAAGTGGGGGTGCCATCCCCCAAATTTTTTTAAATGGGAATGGGGGTCAAGTGGGGGGTCATTAGAAAGGGCTTTTAATTCTCTATACATCGATTCTTACTTTTTGAAAATCGATCCATTATTTTAGAAAATATGCAGCTTTGAAAATACGAACAATATTTTTGACGAGAAATGCGAAAATCGATTTAATTTTACTTCAAAACTTACGGTATTAGCTTGGTAAATTCCTTCAAAAGAATTCGCTGTTTTTTTTTTTGATTTGCGAATTCTTTAGCCTGATTTTGGTGAGCAAAAAATTGTCCGCTTTTTGTTTCGTATTTAGATAGGCCACAAGAAGTTGCTAGATAACTGTCTTGTGACTTGTAGTTGAAGAGTACCAATACTGCCGAGTCTTTTAAATTGATTAATTATGGTGTACTCAATTCCAGAAAGAGTAGAAATTATTGAGCTTTTTTTCAAAAACAATGAATGCGGAAATCGGGTCGCCGAACTGTTCAACCAACGGCATCCTGAGAAACATGCGTCTGGAAAAATTGTTCGCGAATTGGTGGCCAAATTTCGCGAAACTGGCTCCGTTCATAACAAAAAGAGGCAGGTTGAAAATCCGGTACTAAATGAACCTACGGAAATAGCGGTATTGGGGCAAGTGGCAATGGATAGTACGCTGAGTACAATGCAATTGGCTACTGCGACAGGAGTGAGTCGTACAAGTGTCCAACGAATATTAAAAAAATACAAATTCCATCCTTATAAGATTCGGCTAGTGCAAGAGCTAAATGAAGACGATTTTGATCGTCGTTTGCAATTTTGCGAAATAATGACTGAACGAGCGATAAACGATAATTTCCTCTTTAATGTGTGTTTTTCGGACGAGTGTACGTTCTTCTTGAATGGTTTAGTGAATCGCCATAATTGTCGTTACTGGGCTGATACCAATCCAAGGATTTTCCATGAGACACACTCCCAACACCCCCAGAAGTTGAATGTATGGGCAGGTATTTTTGGAAATTCCATTGTAGGTCCTTTTTTCCTTCCTGGAAATTTGACAGGCGATATGTACTTGGATTTACTACAAAATGTCATCGACCCAGCTCTAACAAATATCATAGAGGACGACCCTGCTTACAATGAACACGAACTGATTTTCCAGCAAGACGGAGCTCCTCCACATTACTCGCTCAATGTGCGCAATTACCTAAATGAGACGTTTCCAGGACGCTGGATAGGACGAAGAGGTGCAATTGAGTGGCCCCCTCGGTCACCCGACTTAAATCCTTTAGATTTCTTTCTCTGGGGGCACATTAAAAGCAAAGTTTACAGCACTCCACCTGATACCTTGGAAGATCTGCGAGGACGAATCATTAATGTATGTCGCGAAGTAACACCGCAAGTGCTCCAGAATGTTCGACAACGGTTTGAAGACAACCTGTATCATTGTATGCAAGTTGGCGGACAACATTTTCAGCATTTACTTGACTAATACCGTAAGTTTTGAAGTAAAATTAAATCGATTTTCGCATTTCTCGTCAAAAATATTGTTCGTATTTTCAAAGCTGCATATTTTCTAAAATAATGAATCGATTTTCAAAAAGTAAGAATCGATGTATAGAGAATTAAAAGCCCTTTCTAATGACCCCCCACTTGACCCCCATTCCCATTTGAAAAAATTTAGGGGATAGCACCCCCACAAAGGGGGTTGAAGATTTTGGAATGCTTTTTGAGCCAAAACTTGTCCCCCTCAGAAACAAATTTGATCTGTTTTTGGATTTTACCGAAAAGTTCTTTACTACCCTGTAATGCCTTGCGGTACGTTTTCGATGGGCTACCCTGTATATCGATCTCACTTAATACAAGATGCACGTCAAAATTCTTTATGTTTTTTGTTGCATTTTTGAGGCCTTGTTGCTCGTAAAAACAAATTTGAAATCCATGGTCAATTTTATGAGTAATCATAGAAAAACCGGAAAAGTACAGAAAGTTTAAGGCCGTCCAACTTTTTTATATTAAGAGATAAAGAAAACTTATTTTAATAAAATTTCATGGCAAAATTGATATCTTTCACATGGTGTGTCCCTCTACGTGGACAAAAAAAAAATGTCATCGAAGCAGTTTGTTGATACAAAAAATTGCTTGTGTTTTCCTCTTTCATGCGATGTACTACATGTCGCCTTTATCTTTTATATTTATTACATTTTTTATAATTTTGGTATCAAAAATGTAGATTAATGTAGAAATTGTTTTAAACATGCCAACTACAAAAAATTTAATGAATATAATGTACTTCTGTTAAGCAAAGAATCTGAATATCTGACACCCATCAATTTACTATCATAGAAGTAAGATCTTATGATTTTGGCATCAACAATTCTAATCCAAACGTTTACTGAGAACCTTTGTTGAAATGCAGTTCCTCCGTGCCAATTTATATTACCCTTAGTACATCAAAAAATCCATTGTTACAAAAATGAAACACATCTGACCAGAGAATTCTTCTGCATATAAAAGGATCTTCCCTCTTTCTTTCTTGTCACTACCTACAAAACCCTAATCTCTTTGGTTTATTTTCCTTCTTTAAGAGATGCACTTTTTTCACCTTATAACATTTGAAACCATTTTTTCATAATATTCTTGCACTCCCTCTCTACATTGTAGTTTGCTTCAATCTCTCACTGTTTTGCTCATTTTTCCTATTTACATAATTTAAAATTCTGTTAAAATTAGCTACTTTATTAACAACACCTGATTGTATTGCCCTGTTCTTCTTAAGAGATCCATATCAGCGAAGGTTTTCAACATATTACATTTCTCAATATGTGAAAATATCATTATTATTCAAAATGAATAGCAACAATTCTTAAATCAACAGTTATGTATAAACTATAACAATAAACAATTTATTGGTGACATGAAATGGTGACATTACTGGGATAACACATTGGTTTTCATAGCGTGTTACATTCAGCGAAGCTGCTTTGTCTGTGCAACAGCAATGTTGAAGGCTCAGTTTTCTCTAAAGTAAAAAAACCAATATTAAAATAATGTGTAATCTGTATTTTACTTAAAAGAAGTACATTATATTTATTCCCTTTGTGGCCTGAATTATCTCGAGTTTTTTAAAAGTAAATTTTTTTAAGATCTACTTAACTATTCAACTATTGAAAAAGGTATACAAAACTTATATATTGTATAAAAAAATAGTTTTTATTATACAGAAAAAACACAAAGATGTGGTTCGACTATGGAACCACAGGTACATAAGTACATACATCATTTTTTATGGAATGCGTAAAAATAGTTCGATTTATCAGTTAAACAAAGTCCAACCTGGCAGGTACTGCAATGCCATCTAGCACGATGTAGCGATGAAATAAAGAGTCCCTAATTTGCATTTTAGAAGACCAATAATCTTTGTAACTTGGTTTCTTTGTTAATCCCATCATTATATTTATTCCACAAAAACATTTAATTTCGTCATATGTCGTGGGAACAAAACGGTTATTATTAGTTATTTGTGTTGCATATAAATTTGTTTCAAACACAATTTTTTCTATGAGCTCCTTTGTAGACAAACAGAGAAAAATATCAGTTGGTGATTCTACATATTCGGGCATATTTGGTCCACTGTTTTTTTTTAAACGATGCGGGGTGTTAGCGTGTGCCGAATTACTAGTCCACTGATGTATGAATGTCGCCAAAGGAAGATCATCCTCACTTCTTTGCTTGTTGGTACTGGCAAATCAGGTCTATTTTCTGACAAATCTTCAATTGAGTTCATAATACACTCATCTGCATCAATTTCATCATCCGATGGTGCCCCAGAGGTAATGGAGCCCGTATCGGAAGGTATCTCATCCAACATAACAAATGCCTCATCAGAACTCATGTTAGCTAAATCCAAATATTTCTTTCCTAAAATAAGAAAATTAATTAGTATGTGTAGCCTAGTGGTCCCAAATGGAACCACAGTATATTTACTAAAAAATAAAAGTTTTAGCTATAAAAAACCATCAACATCTTGACACAAAACTGTACTAGAATGCATATTTAAAAGAATAAGATCATAAACTTACGTGACATGGTGACGTGAACTAAGAAGAGACTATCTGTAAACACGTGCAAAAACCGTCGTGCGAGACTCACAAACAACAACTGAGAAATGAATAAACACAGCACGCGGAATTTGAATTAAGGAGGGGGGAATGACGCCTAAAGAAGTGGTTCCACCTAGCACTTACTAGGCCGCTTCTAGGACAGAGTTTGAACTGTGGTCCCAATAAGGCACCACTAGCCCACAAAGGGTTACATTTTTTGTAGTTGACGCGTCTATAACAATTTCTACGTTAACAGGAAAATGTTTACATTTTTTATACCAAAATTGCAAAATATATAATAAATATAAAATATAAAGGCAACCTGTAGTATATCACATGAAAGAGGAAAAGCAATTTTTTGTAGCCACAGCCTGCTTCGATGACATTTTTTTTTGCCAGCGAAGAGGGTGCAGCAAATTACATACGATACTTTAAAAATGTTGTTAAAATAAGTTTTCTCTATCTCTTAAAATAAAAAAGTTAGACGGCCCTAAATTTTCTCTACTTTTTCGTTTTTTTTTATAATTACTCACAAAGTTGGCCATGGATCTTAAATTTGTTTTTACGAGCATCAAGGCCTCAAAAATGCAACAAAAAACATATAAAGAATTTTGACGTGCGTCGTATATTAAGCGAGATACATAGGAGTGGCCCTCTGGTAGTAGACAACCTGTATATAATCTCAATGATATGATTAAATGTTATTTGATGTAAAGGAGACCACTGCAAAATATTGATGCGAGAAAGAGAAATTACAAACATATAAGTATGTAATTTTATATGAGTACATTACAGAGTACATAAACTTCCTAATAAGGTTGTTCATCTAATTCAGAAATATGTTCTGCAAAAAACGTTAAGCTGGTGATGTGACGTAACAATAACCAACCACAGAAGCCTAGTCTTAATTTAGGTCTAACATAACTAATATACTTAAAAGGTACGTAAAAACGCAACGTTACTAAAACTACGGAAAAAACAGTAAGTAAATTTTCTTGAAATCTTTACCTGTTACCTATTACCAAAGCAAACCCCAAATTTGTAATAAACCCCTGCGACACATTCACAATTTGTACAAAAAATATTAATTTGGTATTGTATAACACCTAGAACTTTGACACAACTACGTCTATGCAGTACATGGTCTTCAAATCTATAGCGAAACCGAATATCATTAGTTTCCGGGAAAAAGACTTGGCTTTAGATTTAGAAATATTTAAAGGTATTGGCACTGCGCAAGTCTGAATTTATAAGTTAAATACAGAGTTATATTAGCAAATCATTATCATATAGCAAAAGTGGACATTTGTTGTATTATTAAAAAAAAAACAGCAATAACAGCGATAACAGAATTATCGAATGATGAGGCATATCAGATGTACCTGTACATTTTCAATTCTGCTCACGACGATATACGAGTTTTTAAATTTTGGCTCGGATGTAACAATAAAATCATCACGTAAAGAATAAGACAAAATATATATGAATGAAAGAATGTTATTTTATTAAATGTTCAAATTGGTTTCCCTTCGCTTCCATACAATAATAAAGTCTTTGCTCCACTTCCGAATATTTCGCAGCATTTCGGATGTTATCTGATTTCTCGATAAAAAATTCGTTGTTGATTTTTGATCTGTCGATACACAAACATCATGCTCTATCAGTTCAACTTTTTACCTGTTTTACTTTAAACGAGACAATATTATTTCGTTTTGTCTTGTCCAGACAATATCCCGTAAAATCATCACAAAGTCGATTGAATTCCAATTTTTGAAAATGATTTATACAATTGCTGAAAAAGTGGAAATAATTAGTTTGGTCTACAAGTATAATGATTGTGCACGGCGGCAGCACAGATTTTTAATGATCGTCATCCTGACATAAACACTTCGTATCGGTATGTCCTGGATTCAGTGTATAAATTTTCGGAGACTGGATTAGTTGCAAACATAAAGCATCAACGTGAACAGGTCGTACGTCAGCTATCCTGGGTCACAAGGAACCAAATTTGAGTTTCAGGAAACTTGTAAGTATCTACTTCAGGAATTTCTGTACCTAGTTACCGTCGGATCTTAAAAATTCGTCAGTATTACCCATACAAAATTAATTTGGTGTAAGAAATTAATGAAGACGATCCTGATCGCAATTATATGTTTGGGCGGGTATACTGGGAGACCATCTCATAGGGCCTTTCTTCCTACCAGAAAATCTGGATAGAAACATGTATCTGAATCTACTGGAAACTTATATCTACCTGATGATTGTTGAAGTATTGGAAAATGACAACGTTTTGACAGAAGAGGATGTGTGGTTTCAACAGGAGAGTTCTCCATCACATTATTCGGTAGCTGTGCATGATTTTCTTAATCAGAACTTTCCAAATCACTGGATAGGATGCTTCGAAATGTTCGTTCGGAAGTGGAGCAAAGATTTTATTATCGTATGGAAGTGGAGGGAAAACAATTTGTACACTTAACATTATTTCATTCATTGATATTTTGTCTTACTCTTTGTGATGATTCTATTGTCATATCCAAACCAAAATTTAGGTGTTACTCAACATAGGGTGCCATTTAAGGTTTAAGGGTATTTTACACCCCTGCCTAAGGGGTAGCTTCCAAGACATCAAAATCACACCATCACGTGTCCCCCTTGAAAAGAAAATCGACGTATCTCAGTTTTTTTTGTTTTTTTTTCCGATATTTTCCAGGTGGGAAATTGGGACACCTTGTATATTGTTGAATGTGTGGCGAATTGACAGGTATATAAAAATATGACGTATGTTTTAACTGTATGTTGTAATAATAGTACTAACTATCTTAATTTATGATAATTTTTATTTAGACGTACCTATACGAATTTCAGGGCCTTTAATTTCCAAGGCTATTGCTAGTGGAAAAATTTTGCCAGTATCCTTGCTGTAATTCGCATTAACTGCTCTAACTTTCGATAAAGTTTCCAATACTCTTTGATTGTCTATGGCCTTTATATTGAAGACACGAACATGTAAATGCATGATGTTTTCTAAATCAGAGCAAGAAACATGCGGAGTGATACCGGCTACCAGCTGCGTTTCCCGAAAATATTTTGGTCTTGATTTTATGTTTAGGGAACTCATGTATTCCAAGGTGGTATTGGCGAAAGCCGCTTCCATTTGGGTGTTGTATACTTTTCCATCTTCGGCAGTATAAAAATCTACCATCCAAGGCAGTTTGGGGCATTTTGAATTGAATGCCATTGTTCAACGTACACCTTAAATTTTGAATTGCACTTGGAACATTTCTGTCAATTTTGATTAATTGTCATAAATAAGCTAATCAAAAATTTGTTGTTGTGTTCGTTTCGCTTGAACCAGATTCGAGTTAAATGATTCTAAATGAAACAAACAAACTTTCATCGTCCTTTTTTTTAAACGTTCAGTGGTAGTGGCAAGCAAAAATTAAGCATCACATGGGAAATAATTTAATAAATCTTGATAAATATTAACACAATCATTAAATGATGGCTATCTACTACAGGGAATTTAAAAAAATGAAAACGTTTTAGTAGAAGCCAATTTATATGAAGAGACGTAGTAAATTACTGCAAAGCAAAAATTCTTTAACGTGTTCAAGATCTAATAGCTTTGGTTCTAGGGAAACTGTTTCACCCTTCTTTTGCATTGAATTTCATCTGTTTTTCAATGCGAGTACTTTCATCATTTTTATGTTCTGGCATCCAACACAGCTGAACCGTATTGGTACTTGTCAGTTTGTAGCAATCGCAAACAACTATAAACAAATTTTGAGTTCAAGACCTTTATAGCTTCTTGACTATCGGAGAATATACTGCAAAGCTTACTTGAATAGCTTTTCGTAAATTCTGCAGTAAGTACGAGTTTATAGTAGCGAAGATTTCAGTTTGGAGTGCTATAAGTAAGGTTTTAATCCCTCATTCTTCTTATTCCTGATACGATAAGCTGCCATTCTTTCTTTTTTTGTCTTTATAATATCGGGTGGCAGATTTAACAAGACTTACAAGATAGTTGTTCGTTCACTTAGTAACATTCACGAATCTTCATGTGATAATTATTTTATTTTGTGTGCTTGAAGTGGTACTTTGTGGTAAAAAGTTCAAGAAAACAAATCTTAGATAGTGGGTTTGTATTTTGTCAACAAAATGCATCGGATTTTTTTCTGTTCCTTCTTTTGAAAATCAAAGACAAAGTGGTTTGAAAATTTTTTATCCCGTAACCATTACCTTTTCCGTATACTGTATACATAAATGTATATTGCTGCCCAAGAAGCTACTGAGATATCATTTGCATATTACACTGCAATATTTATGTTTTATATAAACTACTGAATAATAAAGGTTTTCATCAAAACCTTCCCTATAATTTTATTAGCATTTTCAATAATCAAAATCCCATAAAATTAATAATAATCAAAATTGTCAAAAATCAAACATGACTGTAAATGATGTATACTCCGCTTTTCTGTCCTCTTTCTTACAGTAAACAGAAAAATATTAGTCATCATTAGTTTTCATTATCGAAATGTGTATCTTTTATTTGGAAAATTATTAGTATAAAAAGATAGTTATTTTTCTAAATTCTTACTTTTAACAGTGTGACTGTGTTGTGTGTATTAATAAGTACGAATAAACATACTGAAATGGCTCATCAATACAGTAATAGTGAATTAATGAACAAGGTAATAACCTGTGGAAACTCTGAAGAAAATTACGATTTCCAAATAGGGATAAGAAGTCTGTTCGGAGAATAACCAAACTTAATTTTTTTAAACTTATTATTATTAATTTTATGCATTATTGATCCCTATCTTCAAAGTACTTCCCTCATCTATTTACACACTTTTCCTAGCGGTGTTTTCATTTCCTGAAGCAGTTCTGGATGGCTTCATTTGAAGTAGCCTTTAAAGTCTGTGAGGAATTTGCTGTTATGTCATCAATAGTCTGAAAACGGCGTCATTTTAGCACTGATTTTAATTTCGGAAATAAGGAAAAGTCACAAGGAGTCAAGTCTGGCGAGTAAGGAGGATGAGGGAGGACAGTAATCTGATTTTTGGCACAAAACGACGACGATTGACAAAGCTGGGTGTGTGAGCGCATCGTCGTGGTGCAAAAACTATGAGTTGTCTCACCACAACTCGTCCCTATTTGTCAATTTTTCCATTTAGGTAACCGTTGTAAAAAGCCTGGATAGTACACACGATTCACTTTTTCATCTCGAGGCAATAATTAAAAATGCACAATTCCATTAAAGTCGAAAAATCAGTGAGCATCACTTTGACATTGGATCGAGACTGACGTGCATTCTTGGGGCGTGGAGATTCTTTGTCAATCCATTGTGACGATTGAACGTTTGTCTCAATGTCGTAGCCGTAAACTCAGTTTTCGTCTCCCATTATGATCCTTTCAATGAATGTTTCATCGTCATTGAACTATTCAAGCAATTGACAACAACATTCTATACGATTCTGTTTCTGTTGTTCAGTCATCAACAAATGCTGCAACTCGATGCATGTTCAATTTTTTAGTCAAAATTCCATGGCATGGCCAATTGAAATGCCAACCTCTTCTACAATTTCTCTGACAGTCAATCGGCGATTTGCACGCACCAGATCTTTGACTTTCTGAACGTGAGAGTCATCAGTTAAAGTCGAATGCAAATCATCTTTAATTGACTGACAACGACTTTTAAATCGTGAAAACCATTCGTAACATTGCCTACGACCCAGAGCCTCATCTCCGTAAGCTTGTTCCAAAAGTTGAAATGTTTCCGTGAGAGTTTTTCCCAGTCTCATGTAAAATTTTACGTTGTTTCGTTGTTCCAGAAAGTAGCACATTTCAAAAATCGTCACTTAACATTTAAACTTGTTGCATTCAAATAACAATATCACGAAAACTAAATAAGAATCAACAACCCAAGAACATGTGGTTACAAGAGGAGGTTATGCGCAATGCAATGTTGCCAATGGCATATCACTAAATATTTCCATTAATGCGTAATTAAAAAAGTTCGGTTATTTTCTGAACAGACCTCGTACGTAAATATTTGTAAAGGTAGAGCTATCGGTTTTAAAAAAGGTTTCAATGTAGTATGCTAGTAGATATTAAAAATATATATATTCCATTGGCAAAATATATTTTTGTCATTGAGGTATGTAAACTTCATTTTATGTATTCTTCATGTATCCTCTCCAAGTATACAGGATGTAAGAAGTATGATATGCCATAACTTCAGCATGAAATAGAGTTTCATCATAACGTGATAACAGGGCTTAACCTGCTGATGCACACCACGTGTGTACACGGCAGACTTGTCCTACGGAAAAAATGTAAACAACTATTATTGTGAAACATTTAGTAAATTTCAAGACAATCGTTTTACAGTTTTGAAATAAGTAAATAAAATAAAATGTATCGATTTTGTAGTATGAAGATAGTGTTGAGCTTAAATTTTAGCTCGAATTTTAGTAATTATGATTCTCTTAAAACAGGAATTTAACTTTTAATCAAATTATGAATTTGAAAAATATATAATAATTAAAGTACCCAAAGGTTCACGTCGTCCAAGTAATCATATGTATTATAAATAATTTAGGGACCAAAAAGCAAAATTCAGTAATTTTTTAACGCACAATTCCAAAACAACATATATTCAAAATGTCTACCACCATTTTCGATACACACACGACACCTTCGAGCACTCGCTGGAAAACACCTCCAGAAAAGGAAATAGTGGTACAAAAAACACCTCATACGGTCCATTTCCAGAAACCAACACCAACTGAATTGCGTATTGCTGGAAAGCTTAGTACCTCGTGTTATCCGCCGCGCCGTTGTCACATTGCTGTCTATGAATTTTATCGAATTTTAAATTTATTACAACGCTAATTATTTTTAGAATTAAGCATAAAGAAGTTCAAAAAAGTGATAACATTGTATTTTATGGTATTCTATTCACGCAGTTATGTCAATATTCGTTAATTAATCGAACATTTGTACATCAAGTTAGAGATTTTTTTGTTGGATAATTATTTTCTCGGAAATGGTTGAGTTTAGAACCCATGTCATATAAGGTTTTTTTGTTTATTTTAATGTATTCTATCTTCTGTTAAAATTAAGGCAGTCAAACTTCTAGCACCCTGTATAAACACCTTGCATATTGGCGAAATAAATAAAAATATTTGAATTATCAGAATAGGTGATATTTCGTTCCTTGTTGTATAATAATATCAAATAACCCTGCTAATATAATACTCAAGAATCGTCGACTTTTAAATAGTACCTACTGAAATGTTCCATTTTTATTTCTTATTAAAAATGAAAATATAAAGTCTAAAAGAGTGAAAGAGTGACACTGACTCGCACTGAACGAATAGTTTTTGTTCCATTTGTTAAGCTTTTACAAAAAGTGGACGTTAATCCACTCTTCACAGTTGCCCCATGTTTCATAAAAAATCAGCATCCACATAATCCTTAAAATACACACCGCATTGACCAAAACCAAGGAAACCGTGACGGGAATCACTACAAAGCGAAGCTTCTGAGACGCATACATCAAGTCGTCTTGACGTTTACAGAAAGGGCAATTGAATATGGCGGAGGAAAAGCAACTGGCAAAGCCTTCTCTGCAAATATTTAGGACGTGTGGACAGGTATTCAATTGCTAAAGTTTCAAATGATTAATATTTTTAGTTTGATGTCTCTTTCACCATTAAACCTCTATAGAAAATTCAGCAATTGTAATATTTTGACTTTTGTACGTACCTGCCTTGCCTCTTACGATTGTATTTCGGTGACAGTCGAATTGTTGTGATGTGTTGAATTATTAAGACGTTTCCTGCAAGATTTTAGTAAACCACATAAATTTATATGACTGCGTTTGTACAGGGTGTCATAGAAAGTAGTACTTGCTTATGAATATGTTTGTTTTTTCTAAAATGAGAACACTAAAAAAATAGTAATAGTAAAAGTGCACTACATGTTGACAAAAGCAATATTTTGCTTTTTTCGTAACTGTGAAGTATAACTAAGTATATGTAGATAAGTAATTCAGAAAAGTCATGAGCTAGATGTTCATGAAACGATCGGAGTCCCCCATATCTACGTCACTGGCAATTGAAATGTAGAATTACTAGTATAGTTTTGTAAGTACCTTTATAGGGTAATAATACCGACAGTATTACACTATAAAATTTTGTGAAGCTCTTATTACGCGTCTTAAAATAT